TTGTGTGCCGCTCAGCCATCACCAACCACTTCTCGAACTCCCGCAGCACGTCGGACTTCTTGACGACCGGCCTCACCTACACGTAGCGGGTCTTGCGGTCCTTCAGAAGCAAGAAGTACGGGCTCCCGTCCTTGGCAGCCACCCGAAACGGCCCGCACAGGTCGATGTGCACGACAGTCAGGGCGTCGTCGGCGTCCGAACCCTTGTCGGGGAAGGTGTGCCGCGCCAGCTTCCTGTCGACGCACGAGACACACGGAGCGTCGGTGCCGGCCGACGGCTTGATGTCCAGGCCGGTGGCGACCTCGTGCTTCACCGAGCTTGTGATGGTGTCAACGCCGACGTGAGCAAGCCTTGCGTGCGACCTGGCCGGCGTCCATGTCGCCGCCGAGACGGTCACCCGAAGAGCCACCGTCTCCGTCGTGGTCGACATCAACTTCGCCGAGCAGGGACGAAGGTCGGTGGAGAGGACTCGGCCGGTGTACATCGCCCAACCGAGAACTTTCCCCGCCGCCGAGATGAGGAGCATCCCGTCACCGTCGTTCTGCAGCTTCACGCTGCTCTCCTTCAATTGGCCGGCAGATAGTAGGTTCGCCTGCTTGCCCGGGACGTAGAGCACATCGGAGATGAGCAACGGCTTCCCGGCTTCTCCTTGCAGGGCGACAATGCCTCGGCCTTGGACGTCCTGCATCGCCCCATTGAAGTCGCGCACGTGCTTGACGTCTCCGCTCGGCTTCAAGTCGACGAAGGCCTTCGTCCCTATCAGGTGATGCGAGCAGCCGCTGTCGAGCAGGACCACCGCCGGGTTCGCCTGCACGGCTGCTGCCACCGCCTGGAAGTCCTCGCCGGCCTCCGGCGCCAACGAGACGGTCGGCTCCACGACGCCGACCAGCGAGCAAGACGCCTCCCCGTCGCCTCGCCCCTTGCCGCCTGAGGAAGAGTCGGCGTCCTTCGCCGACGTCGACTTGGTCGACTGCTTCTCCTTGCGCGGCTTGCTCTCCCGACGTGGGCGACGACCGGCCGACCTCCCTCGGACCCTTTTGGTGTTGTCGTCGTCGCAGTTGGTGCGGTTGGGGCAGTCAAAGGAGAGGTGGTCAGGGTCAGTACACAGCCAATACTCCCGACGCCGACTTCCTCCTCCATGACCGCCATCCTTAGCCGATTTCGCCTTGTCGGCGTCCTTGGCCGGCCTCCCACCTCCGCTACCACCACCGACAGGCTTGCCGCGTTGCCCCGGCCGACTACCCTCTTCGTCGGGGCTATGTAGTTTCCCTGCGGCAGGAGCTTCGTGGACCTATCGGCCTCCTACATTGCCTCGTCCCTGAGGATGTACGATGTTAACGAGTCCTCTTTGAGCGACTCCCGCGTGCCCGGTACCACCATCAGTCGTTTCATCAGGTTGAAGCCGCTCGGGAGCCCCTTGATGACGTGCGTGATGTATGGCGCCGTCGACTACTCGACGCCAGCCATCCGCATGCAGGCAATGAGGCGCCGAGCTCGGTTGCAGTAGTCGGTCGCCGTCTCCTGCTCGCCCATCCGCAGGTGCGTCATCTGCTCCTTCAGTTGGTCAATGTACAGGTCGTCGGTGACCTGGTACGTCGACGTGATGAACCGCCACGCCTGATGTTTGGCGTCCAGGTGACTCCGGCACGACTTCAAGGCAATTTGCACCACCGGGGAGCAGCACCGCGAGACGACCGTGAAGGTCGGCAGCTGCACGGCGCGGAACTCTGCACGCAGCTCGGCGTTGCTCGCAGGCGGCGTCTCCACAGTGCCGTCGGCAAATCACATCAGCCTGGCCATCTTCAGCTGGGGCTCGATGGATTCCTTCCACGTAAGAAGGTCGTGACGACCGACCAGCGGTGCCGTGACGGAGATCTTGTCGGGCGTAAATTTGAAGTACCCGAAATTCGGCGCTATCCCGCTCGCAGTCACGTGGGTCGCCGACGCAGGCATCACGCTGCCTCGACGTCCATTGATGTCGCCTTGCGAGGAGCCCGCAGCCGCCGACGACTGCAGCACTCGTGCCTGAACGCCGCCGACTTCACCGTCGGCCGTCCGGAACACTCCTCTCTGTCTCGACGTGCCTCCCGCACTGCTGCCGACTTGGTCACCGGCGTGACGCCCACGTCGATGCCGCCTTCGTTGTTCACCGGTCAAAGAGAGGCAGGTCGAGAAGGGTGTTCCGTCGCCCTCTTTGCGCGGATGCCTAACTCGACGACCTCCAAGGGGAGGGTCTTGTCAAACTATTATTGATATAGTTTGTTAGTTTAGTCTAGGTGTTACACTGAGTTATGCTGTAGAGGGTATAACCCCCCTTAGGGTTTGCTATATGCTCCCTTGTACTACTTTTTCCTACTCATTCATTATTCCGTTGCATGGTTCACATGGTATATAGCAGTTCGATTCCCATGGGCCCACTACCCCGCGCCCGCCCGTTAGTAACGCGTTACCCGTAGTGCCCCGTCCCCCCTTAGCGCCAGCCCCCCCCCCCCCCCCCCTCCCCCCCCCCACCCCCCCCCCCCCCCCCCCCCCCCCCGTCGAATCGCGCGCTAGAGAGCGACCCCCGCGGGTCCCCGAATCGCGAGTTAGAAGGACCCTCGCGGGTCCCCCACGTCGCGACCTAGGAAGGCCCCCACGGCCCCCCCATATCGCGAGCTAGAAGGACCCCTGCGGGTCCCCCCCACGTCGCGACCTAGGAAGGCCCCCGCGGGCCTACGAATCGTGCATTAAAGGGCGCTTCCCCCCCCCCCCCCCCCCGTAGCCCGTCGCCCCGCAGCCCTCCTCATCGCGTCCCTTCCCCGTCGCCTCCCCGACGCATCCCCTCCCCATCGCCTCCCCGTCGCGTCACCTCCCCGTCGCCTCCCCGTCGCATCCCCTCCCCGTCGCCTCCCCGTCACGTCCCCTCTCCGTTGCCTCCCAGTTGCGTCCCCTCTTCGTCGCCTCCCCGTCGCGTCCCCTCCCCGTCGCCTCCCCTTCCCCTACCCGTCGCGTCCCCTCCCCTCCGCCCTGCAATCCGCCAGCTCCGTACGCCAGCCCCGTCGCGCCCTCGTTCGCCAACCCCGTCGCGTCCCCGTCTGCCAGCCCCGTCGCCAGCCCCGTCGCCAGCCCCGTCCGCCAGCCTCGTCGCCAGCCCCGTCCGCCAGCCTCGTCGCCAGCCCCGTCCGCCAGCCCTATTCGCCAGCCCCGTCGCGTCCCCTCCCCGTATGCCCTGCAGTCCGCTAGCTTCGGCTGCTACCAGCCCTCCAGAACCGCCCAGAAACGCCCAGAACCGCCCTGGACCGCCCAAGACTGTCCAGAACCGCCCACGACCGTCCAGGACCGCCCAGAACAGCCCACAACCGCCCAGGACCGCCCAGGTCCGTCTAGAACCGTCTAGAACCGCCCAGAACCGTTCCCCACCACCAGAACCAGCAGCAGCTTAGGCTGCCTCCAGCACCAGCAGCGGCTTAGGCTGCCGCCAGAACCAGCAGCAGCATAGACTCCCCCCCCCAGCAGAACCAGCAGCAGCATAGGCTGCCCCCAGCAGAACTAGCAGCTGCTCCAAGCAGAACCAGCAGCAGCATAGGCTGCCCCCCAGCAGAACCAGCAGCAGCATAGGTTGTATCCAGCAACCGCTCCTAGCCGCTCCCCACCGCACTCGGCCGTCTCTAGCGCCTACCATGGCGTGTGCTAGAGTTTTGCAGCAGCAGCAGGGTCAGCCGTAGCGACAGCAGCTACAGCACACCCGGTAGTGGGGACCTTAGGGTCCTATGAGTACCGGCCGCAGCAGCTGCTCAGCCAGTAGTGGGCGCGACGTCGGTCCCAGCGGGTACCGGATCCTGACTGGCCCGGGCATCTTCGCCAGTGCACTGCTGCACCAGTTGAGTCTCACCTACCTGGTCTAGGACCTTTCCCAGCTGCACAAGTAGAGACCTCCGTTTCCATTCTTGGTGCGTGTGTTGTTTCCAGTCTAGGCGCCTCTGAGGGTCTTTGTCTAGGAGGTGCAGCTACCACTAGTCTAGCACCAACCTTTGTCGCTAGCTGGGGTGCGACCTCACAGCCTGCACAGCTTTCCTTCACCCTAAGACTCTGGAGCATCCAGCTGTTTCTTTCACGACGGTACTGACCTCACGCCACTGCACACTCCAGTCACTGTCGCCTTGGCTGACCCCTTCGTGAGACCTGTCGTTGCCCACAGCACCACCACTCTCCCGTGTCCGGCGGCTCTTTTTGGGTTTCTCACAGGTTACTACACCCCCTCGTTCTCGAGGAACCTGGTGGGTGTCAGTCACCTCCACGACCTAGGTGTAGTCACTACTTTCCTACTGGACGAGCCTGTTGCCTCCTGCACAGTCGGTGCCACTGGGGCGCTTCTGGCCACTTTCCACAGGGAGCCGGGCTCTGGTCTGTACTCACTACGCACTGGGTCCCACCACACTGGGTCAGGTCAGGTCAAGAAGCTGCTGTGTCGTGCGACTGTTGGTCCCTCACCCACCCGTCGGTACTCTGGCACCACCGTCTAGGCCACCCGTCGTTCCCACGTCTCCATATAATAATACGTCACCGTCTGGTCTCGGGTCTCCCAGAGTCGCTTGCCTCGCTTCCTCGCTCGCCTGAGCCACCTTGCACTCCTTGCGTCGAGGGTCGGCAACGCGCTGCCCCTCACTCCTCGTTTCCCTTTGCATCCAAGGGTGGCAGTGGAGGGAGTGGAATAACGAGAAACAATGGCATCATAACACTCCTTCACTGACGTGACCTGGCTGAAGTGGACGGCCATGGTCGTCGGGAGGAGGCTGCTAAGAGCAAGACGAGCTGAGGCATCGCGGGACTGCCACACCGAGTACCCCGTGCACCATGCAGCAAACCTCTCCCATTCCGTCACAGTGGGCTAAGTAGGGAGCGGTTTAGGATGCACAGGGGCCAGCAGCTCGCTGGACGTTTGGGCGTACAGCGTGTCACTGTCCTAGCGCTGGCTCTAGAGGTAAAGCTTGATATGCAACACCTACGTGCTAAGATCTATCATGCGACCATGTCGGATTCTGGTCTTCTTCTCTGGCTTGCTCCTTCCTTTTCCTGCTTTACCTTTCCTTCTCTCATTGTCACTCCCTCTTTCATCTCTCCTTCTAGATCCTCTCTTCCTGTTCCTTCCTCTCTTCTTCCTTCATTCTCTTGTCCTCCTTCACCTATTGGCTGCTCTCAAAGCACTGCATTCTCCATGTGAAAGCAGGAGGCCTCACCTTACATAGTTCACTTCCTTGCCAATTGCTCGGCTGGCTGGCTCAGTACCCAGATTGGTGCTGACACTTAGGCGGTGTTTGCCAGTGCAATCAACAGCAAAATGGACGGAACCAGGAAGGTCAGTCACGCCTTCCTAATCCTGTCCGTTAGGGTTCGTTAAGGTCTCTTAGGGTGGTCAGCTCGTAAAATTCCTGCCGAACCTACAATTCCGCCCGACCCCAATGGAATCATGATGGCGTGGCGAACTTGAAATCGCCAAAAACAGAATTACCCTACTTGCTTTGAAGAAACTCTTGCGAGCCCGGGCAATCGTCCTGCTTCCCCCAACCCCCTGCCCTGCTTCCCACCATCCCCTTCCCCGCTTCCCCCCATCCCCTTCCCTGCATCCCCACATCCCCTTCCTTGCTTCCCCCCATCCCCTCCCCTGCTTCCCCCAATCCCCTTCCCTGCTTCCCCCTATCCCTTTCCCTGCTTCCCCCCATCCCCTTCCCTGCTTCCACCCGTCCCCTTCCCTGCTACCCCCCATCCCCTTCCCTGCTTCCACCCGTCCCCTTCCCTGCTTCCCCCCATCCCCTTCCCTGCTTCCAACCGTCCCCTTCCCTGCTTCCCCCTATCCCCTTCCCTGCTTCCCCCCATCCCCTTCCCTGCTTTCACCTGTCCCCTTCCTTGCTTCCATCAATCCCCTTCCTTGCTTCCATCTATCCCCTTCCTTGCTTCCCCCCATCCCCTTCCCTGCTTCCATCCATCACCTTCCCTGCTTCCCCCCATCCCCTTCCTTGCTTCCCCCCATCCCCTTCCCTTCCCCCCATCCCCTTCCCTGTTTCCCCCCCTCCCATTCCCTGCTTCCCCCCATCCCCTTCTCCGATTCCCCCCATCCCCTTCCCTGCTTCCCCCCATCCCCTTCCCTGCTTCCCCCCATCCCCTTCCCTACTTCCACCCATCCCCTTCCCTGCTTCCTTGGATCCCCTTCCCTGCTTCCCGCTATCCCCTTTCCTGTTTCCCCCCATCTCCTTCCCTACTTCCACCCATCCCGTTCCCTACTTCCCTGGATCCCCTTCCCTGCCTCCCTGGATCCCCTTTCCTGCTTCCCCCCATCCCCTTCCCTACTTCCACCCATCCCCTTCCCAGCTTCCCTGGATCCCCTTCCATGCTTCCCAATGTCCCCTTCCCTACTTCCCCATGTCCCCTTCCCTGCATCCCCCCATCCCCTTCACTGCTTCCCCCCATCCCCTTCCCTGCTTTCCCGCATCCCTTTCCCTGCTTCCACCTGTCCTTTTCCCTGGTTCCCCCCATCCCCTTCCCTGCTTCCCTGGATCCCTTTCCCTGCTCCCCATGTCCCCTTCCCTGCTTCTCCATGTCCCCTTCCCTGCATCCCCCCATCCCCTTCCCTGCTTCCCTCCATCTCCTTCCCTGCTTCCCCCCATCCCTTTCCCTGCTTCCACCTGTCTCCTTCCCTGCTTCCCCCCATCCCCTTCCCTGCTTCCCTGCATCCCCTTCCCTGCTTCCCCCCATCCCCTTCCCTACTTCCACCCATCCCCTTCCCTGCTTCCTTGGATCCCCTTCCCTGCTTCCCGCTATCCCCTTTCCTGTTTCCCCCCATCTCCTTCCATACTTCCACCCATCCCGTTCCCTACTTCCCTGGATCCCCTTCCCTACTTCCCTGGATCCCCTTTCCTGCTTCCCCCCATCCCCTTCCCTACTTCCACCCATCCCCTTCCCTGCTTCCCTGGATCCCCTTCCATGCTTCCCAATGTCCCCTTCCCTACTTCCCCATGTCCCCTTCCCTGCATCCCCCCATCCCCTTCACTGCTTCCCCCCATCCCCTTCCCTGCTTTCCCGCATCCCTTTCCTTGCTTCCACCTGTCCTTTTCCCTGGTTCCCCCCATCCCCTTCCCTGCTTCCCTGGATCCCTTTCCCTGCTCCCCATGTCCCCTTCCCTGCTTCTCCATGTCCCCTTCCCTGCATCCCCCCATCCCCTTCCCTGCTTCCCTCCATCTCCTTCCCTGCTTCCCCCCATCCCTTTCCCTGCTTCCACCTGTCTCCTTCCCTGCTTCCCCCCATCCCCTTCCTTGCTTCCCTGGATCCCCTTCCCTTCTCCCCATGTCCCCTTCCCTGCTTCCCCCCATCCCCTTCCCTACTCGTATTCACTGGAATAGCTCCGCATATAGTATGTGTTGTCCCAAAACCATTTTTCAACTTACCTGCGGCTAGGCCTACTGTGATGAGTCGAAGCGTCGCATCTGGTGCTGCGTGTGCCAAGAAATGAATTACGTCATCGGGTGTTGCCATAGTCCCGCCAGCGAACAAAACGGACAATCCCACACGTAGCACGCACAACAGAGACCTCATATGCTTCGATATATTTATGCTGCCCTTTGTGACAACCTTGCATGCTTGCGTTGCTGGATGTACACGTGATTTACTCATATTGGCCATACAAAAGAAACTCCACCACCAAGAGAGTATGCAAGTGCATGATGGGTGGGAGAGAAACTGTCAATGGGAGTTACGTTGTTGGCCCTGTCCTCGCTTGGACGAAGTCGGCTTCGTTGTCGGGTGTGCAGGAGCGCAGCCAACCTGCTGCAGTGGGTGACATCGACCTGGGCGTCTGGACAGTGTCCTGGGCGCCTGGACGCCGACCTGGGCGTCTGGACGGCGTCATGGGCGCCTGGACGCCGACGTGGGCGTCTGGACGCCGGCCTGGACGTCAGCGTGCTGACCTGGGAAGAGGGGACGCCGACCTAGGCGTCCAAACGCCGACTTGGGCGCCTTGACGCCGTTCTGGGTGGCCGGACGCTGACCTGGATGTTATGTGATGCTATCATTTGCATTCACGTCTGTCTGCCTCCCATCATATGATCGTGTGTTGCATGCGTGGTGTGTGCGTATGCAAGAAATCGTATTTGGTGTGGTTTGGATTTTCCGAGTGTGTGTGAATTTTATTCTGCTTGAGCATATACCTGAAATGACTCCTCTGCTCAAGAGCTTTCCGACGAACCAAGAATCGCCACGATCGGAGCAAGAACGAGAAAGTTATGATCGTTCGAAGTTATGGTTGTTGTGCGGCGACTATGGGAATTTCTAGAGTGACTCTATATGGGGTACAGAATTTTGGGGGTTGGGGAAATTCGTCACTATATTGTAGATTGATGCCAAGTGGTTGGGAGAAGCAAAAACAGGTTGGCAAGTGTGGCCAAATTGGGTGAGGTGGATTTGAGAGGTTTGGAAAAAAACAAGGGTGAAAGTTGGGTTCCTATAGGGGAGGGACTCTTGTGAGCATATGGGGTTTCCTTGGTTGGGGAATCCTTGGGACCTTCCCTCTCGTCCTCCACTTCCCTCCTACCTGGCTGATTGCTACTGTAACTTTCTTTGTGGTACTTATGAGATTGAGTTAAGTTTGTGTGGCAGCATACCCCTGAGTGCGCCGAAATTCATATCTCGAGAAATACTTCACCTTTTGATGTAATTCAAACTGGGAATTATAGCCACGGACTAGAGCTATAACATATCTGAGTTTGGTGAAGTTTTAACGATGCACCTTTCATCGATGGCGTTTCTTGTGAACTCGGCGTTTCTGTCCAGAATTCTAAGCCAACGATTTTGAGAAAGTTAGGCCCCTAATCTTCGTACACTCCGTCCTTAGTCTATAACACTGGAAGGACGCCGACCTGGTGGCGTCAAGCACCCGGGTCAAGTTAGTTACCCTGGCGACGAGCACTGCGGAGTGTGCGAGTGTCGCCCAGGGGATTCTTGCGAAGCCGACCTCGGTGTGGTATCCCGAGGTCGACGTGAAGGATCAGGTGCAGACGTGACTACGTGGTCGGCAAAACGCGTGCGCTCTGTACATAAAGGAGCATAGGGTACCAACCAGCTGCGAGCACCTGCGAAGCGGGTGCGCTGCTGTCTTGCGGGTGCAACGCTCTGCAGCCGCCTTGCTGCTCTACGACAAATGGCGACACTACGAATTGACGAGGATGAAGCGGTTTAAGAAGGGGTGCATAAATTCTTCGACTTGTTGACGCGGCTTGAGGGAGCTGATTTGAACTACAGTGAGCTACAGAAGAAGACCAAGTTGCTGGCCTTACTCCCAGAGTCATGGTCCTCGCTCATCATCAACCTCAACCGAGATCTGCCCCGCCTCTCGCTCGAAGATGTGAAGCGAGCAATCCTCCAAGAGGATTTCCGCCGCCGTGAGTTGGCGAGTGCGGATGGCGCCGGGGCAGCAAGCATCGGCCGGGGGTACGACCGTGGAAGAGGCAGAGGACGAGGGGGAGGCAGATTTGGCAGCAACAACTTCAATAGAGGCCGCGGGAGTGGCGGTTACGGCAGCGACGACAAGGGCTACGGACGCGGTCGCGGCCGATTCGACGGCGAGTGCCACTTTTGCCACAAGAGCGGACACATGTGGCGCGATTGCTACAAAATCCCTGATGGTTGGACCCCTGCTCAAGGTCAGGAGGGTAGAGGAGCAGGAGGAGGGAGAGGAAGAGGCCGTGGAGGCCGTGGCGGTCGCGGAGGTGGTGCTGCGAATATGAAGAGTGACGGCAACGAGAGCGAGTCGAGGGACGATCGCTTTCCGGGTCAATTCTTCTTCGTCTCGACGCAAGCGCCGGCTGCACCAGAGAAGGATGAAGACTTTGAAGAGCCTGCAGCTGTGGGAAAGGTCATCCTACACCCCTTGGACTATTGGGTGATCGATAGCGGCTCTACCTATACCATGACACCTCGCGCGGACTTGCTCACCGAACTTGAACCGTCACCGGTGAAGCATGTCACATCGGCTTTGGGGCAGCGAGCAGAGGTGAAAGGCATGGGCAAGGCCATGTTCAAGGGTGCTGATGGGAAGATGGTGGGCCTCAAGAACGTGCTTTGGGTGCCCAGCCTTGCTGCGAACCTGATTTTTGTGCGGCGATTGGCAAAGGCCGGCATGGATACGAATTCGAAGGGAGCGAAGACCTACACCGCAAGGATTGGCGAGCGGATTCTATGGGACGTTCACGAAGATAGGGATGTCTACAACGAGATGTGGCAGATCCCTGTGGTCCCCATGCCTAAGGAGAGGCAAGTGGCAGCAAGCATCAGCGCCATGGGCGAAGCGGTTGGTAGCGGCTATGGCGCGAACGATCGTGCCAAGGAGAACGAGCTCAAGAAGAGCAAACCTGGAGGGACCAACAAGCTCGGTGATCCTAAGGAAAATGGTGCAGCAGCCCAGGAGCAGCACAAGGGTGAGGAGAACCACGAGGCAGCAGCGGAGGAGGACTACGGAGAGAGTATGTGGGGCGCTATTGCGAGCGCGGCATTCTCCAATCCAACTTCGGCTACGGGGGAGTGTGATTGGCTCACCTTGCATCGGCGCATGGGGCATGTGGCCCTGCCCATATTGCAGCAGCTAGTGAAGAATGAGATGGTTGCTGGCATACGTGTGAAGGGGGAGCCCAATGAGGTACTTGGCTGCCCGACGTGCATGCAAGCCAAGTTCACTCGTTTCCCGTTCTCGAGTTCGTAGGCAACGGCTAAGGCACCACTTGATGAGGTGGTGATGGACGTGATGGGCCCCCTGAAGCTAGGAGCTGCTGGAGCTGAGTACTTCCTCACCATTGTCGACGTCTACACCCGCATGACTTGAATGTACGTGCTGTCCAAGAAGAGCGACGTGGCTGAAACGGTGAAGACCGATTGGTTGCCGATGGTGGAGCGGCAACAAGACCGGCTAGTCAAGTCAATCCGCACCGATCGAGGGGGAGAGTTCCTGAGCAAGTAGTTTGGATTGTGGCTGAAGAAGAATGGGATAAGGCACTCCCTTACCATGCCATACTCCCCCGCAATGAACGGCATCGCCGAGCGAGCGAACCGCACAAACACGGAGACGGCACGCGGCTTGCTCATAGAAGCCGGGCTACCCGACTATTTCTGGCCTGATGCGGTGCGGAGCGCGTGTGTGGCCAAGAACAGAGCTTTGACTCATGTGGGAGCAGACAAATGGGTGCCCTATGTGGAGTGGATTGGAAGAAAGCCAAAGGTGGATATGCTTCGGGTGTTCGGGTGCATGTGCATGGCGCTCGTACCTAAGCATCTTCGGCACAACAAGCTTGGTGCCAAGGCGATATGGGCCGTGCACTTGGGCATGGCTCAAAACAGCAAGGGGTGGCTTCTTTGGGACCCATTCACCAAGAAGTTCATGGTGAGCAGGGACTGCAAGTTCATGGAGAACCTCATGTACAGGGATTGGAAGGCGGAGAACGAGGCAAAGATAGGCATGCGGTTTGGGGAGGTGAAGAGTTCCGCCCTGGAGCACGTGGAGCTGCCTTTGGAGCTGAGCAGAGGCAGCACTACCACAAGGCAATCTTCCTTTGTGAATGGGGGAGAGGAGGCCAAGGATGCAGAGGAAGAAGAGGAGGAGGTGCAGCAAGTGCGCGAGCGTGCACCGACACTTCCTTCACGCGCTACAAGTGCTCCACGGATCCGAGTCACCCCGCAGCAACGCCAAGGCCTTCAAGTCCCTGCAGCTAAGGAGGAAGGAAGGGGCAAGAGGAGAGTTCAAGCCCCTAATAGGCTGACATATGATGCACCAGGAAAGCAAGGCAAGACAGCCTTGGCCGGAGCGGCAATGATGGTCGGAGACGACGAGGAGAGTGACTACGAGGAGTGTGCTTACGTGTTCTTCTCTCCGGTGGAGATGCCGGGAGAACCAGCAACTCTCAAGAAGGCCTTGGAGATTAGTGATGCTGAGGAGTGGAAGAAGGCCATGGAGAGTGAGCTGAAGAGCATTGAGGAGAAGAGGAGCTTCATGGTGGTGTACGTGGATGACATCCTCATCTTCTCACCCTCCTCTGACCTTGGGAAGGAGGTGATGCTGAAGCTTCAGGACAAGTTCAAGTGCAAGGCACTTGGCGACGTGAACTTCTACCTCGGGCTCCACATCGAACGCGACGTGGAGAAGCGGTGCATGCGGGTGCACCAACGGAAGTACCTGGAGGCGTTGGCTGCAAACTTTGGGCAGAGTGAAGGTCATGTGACTACACCCTTCCCCTCTGGGTTCAAGTGTGTGAAGGGACCAGAGGAGGAGAGCGGTTGTCAAGAGGAGAGGCGTCGTTTTCACTCATTGGTGGGCAGCCTCATGTATGCGGCGGTAAACACTCGGCCGGACGTGGCCTTC